TGTTCATTTGTTTTGTACGTTGTATCATCATATTTATGTTTGTACTTTTTAAATAATTCAAAAAAAATTCAAAAAAACAAAACAAAACAAGGCACATCCTAGCCAGCCAAAGTCAAGGCCATCTCCACAGAAAGCAATAATGGCTGGAGGGAGTGACCTATGACCTATGAAATTGTTTCTTTGGGGAATGTGACTGATGAAACACCTTGGGGGAGGGGGAAACAGGGTTAGAGGTAAGGCGCAAACTGAGTGGGGTCAGAGCTGGCTTCACTAGGTCCGTGCTGACATGGCGCTCCTAATAAACAACTGGATTTTTCTTGAAAACTGGCTTGAGGCTCCTGCTTTTATTAGGGCATCAGTCGGAATTCTGGCACCAGGTTTATCATAATTATTCCAAAAAAAATTGTATTATACCAATTATAGTACAATTTTTCCATATCTTGTGAAGCCACCTCAGTTGTTTTATTATTGTCAGAAAACAGTACTATAATATTTACCAGTGACCTGATGCTATCAGAGGCCTTATGTGTTGAACTGATCAATTTAGTTGCATTTCCTTTTGATTCTGGAACTCAGTTTAATTGAGTTATGCATTTGTGAATTTCTGCAGAAAATAATACTTTTTACTTTATATGTAAAGTTAAAATGGTGGGGAGGGAGTGGAGTGGAAAATTAGATATCAATGATGGACATATCTGTCCTCCACTCAGAGTGATCAAAGTGCCATTTTTGAGTTACTGGCCATTGTTCTTTCTTCTAATTTTAAACAGCCATGTGATTGTCTTTTTTTATTTGTCATAGCTAGTTAATTTGGCTTTGATGAAAATTATTTTTAGTTATTACCTAATCATTTATTCAATCATTTGAATTGAATATTCCCTGTGGAACATATTATTGCTGCACATTTAATCACATTATATCACAAAACAAAATTTCAGGCTGTCAAAAATGAAATTATCTTAAGCCTAATCCCTTTACCCCAACATTATAAATTTAGTGTACTCTATTCCCTTCTAAAATCTGATTTATTATGCTGAGAAATCAAAATATCATGTTTTCTGTCATGCTTGATTACAGGTTTTGTCAAATTTCACTTCAGATTCAGGCTACAAATTATATCCAGATCATTATGGACTAGATTGGATAATTTTCAAAATCATATATAAGATCAAATGGTCTTTACACACTGTTAGTTATTTCTCAAGATGCTACAATATTCCTTTGAACCATATTGGTATGATTTAATTTGGAACATTTCTATTCATTTTATTTATTTATTTATTATTTATTTATTATTTATTTATTTATTATTTATTATTTATTATTTATTATTTATTATTTATTATTTATTATTTATTATTTATTATTTATTATTTATTATTAATTAATTAATTAATTAATTAATTAATTATATTTCTATACCGCCTTTCTCCCGTAGGACTCAAGGCAGTGTACAGTCAAGAAAAATATAGACACACAAACATCATAAAATTGCTAATTAAAATTGTTACTTAGTTTGATCAATTAAATAAAACCCAGAATTAGATAACATTTAAAAAATCATTCGCATGTTTGTATGCTTAGCCCTGCCTGTTGGAACATCAGGGTCTTGAGGGCACGGCGGAAAGCACGGAGATCAGGGATATTCCGTATCTCCGGGGGCAGTTCATTCCAAAGGGTTGGAGCCCCTACAGAGAAGGCCCTCCCCCTGGGAGTCGCCAGTTGACATAATTTGACTGACGGTACCCTGAGTAGTCCCTCCCTGTGAGAACGAACTGGTCGGTGGGAGGCTATTGGTGGCAAAAGACGGTCTCATAGGTACCCAGGTCCTAAGCCATGGAGCGCTTTAAAGGTGATAACTAACACCTTGAATCGCACCCGGAAGACCACCGGGAGCCAGTGCAACTCGCGTAGGAGAGGTGTTACATGGGCGTAACGAGCTGCGCCCATAATCACCCGCGCGGCTACATTCTGGACCAGTTGGAGCCTCTGGGTGCTTTTCAAGGGGAGCCCCATGTAGAGAGCATTACAGTAGTCCATACGGGAGGTAACTAGGGCATGAGTGACCGTGCGCAAGGTGTCCCAATCCAGAAAGGGACGCAACTGGCGGATCAGGCGAACCTGATAAAAGGCACCCCTGGCCACGGCTGTCAAATGATCTTCTAAAGATAACCGTGAATCCAGGAGGACACCCAAGTTGCGGGCCCTCTCTGTGGGGAGCAAGATCTCATCCCCTATTGTCAGTGAGGGTACCAGCTGACTATACCGGGACGCCAGAAGCCACAGCCACTCGGTCTTGGAGGGGTTGAGTCTGAGCTTGTTTCTCCCCATCCAGATCCGCACGGCCTCCAGGCAACGGGACATCACAGCAAGGGCATCATTGGGGTGGTCTGGGGTGGAGATGTATAGCTGTGTGTCATCAGCATACTGATGAACACTCACCCCAAAACCACGGATGATCTCACCTAGCGGTTTTACATAAATGTTGAACAGAAGGGGTGAGAGGACTGACCCTTGCGGCACCCCACAAATAAGGTGCCTCGAGGTTGACCTCTGCCCCCCTGCCAACACAAACTGCGAACGGTCAGAGAGGAAGGAGGAGAACCAACGAAGCACGGTGCCCCCTATTCCTAACCCCTCCAGCCGGTGCAGTAAGATACCATGGTCGATGGTATCAAAAGCCGCTGAGAGATCTAATAGGACCAGGATAGAGGAGCAACCTCTGTCCCGAGCCCTCCAGAGATCATCCACCAATGCGACCAATGCCATTTCTGTGCTGTATCGTGACCTGAAGCCCGACTGGAACGGATCCAGATAGACAACTTCATCCAGGTATCGGGGTAGTTGTCGCGCCACCACACTCTCAACAACCTTCGCAACAAAGCGAAGATTGGAGACTGGACGATAATTTGATAATATAGCCGGGTCCAGGGAAGGCTTCTTGAGGAGGGGCTTCACAACCGCCTCTTTCAAGGCGGCGGGAAAGACACCCTCACTCAGAGAAGCATTTATAATCCCCTGGAGCCAGCCTCGTGTAACCTCCCGGGAGGCCAGTACCAACCAGGAGGGACACGGGTCCAATAAACATGTGGCAGCATTAAGCTTGCCCAGAATCCTGTCCACATCCTCAGGAGCCACAGAGTCAAACTCTTCCCAGATAACGCTCTCAAGACCTGCCCCCGTCTCCTCACCTGGATCTACCCAATCGGAGTCCAGGCCTTCCCGAATCTGAGCGACTTTATCATGCAGGAATTGTACAAAATCCTCAGCTCGACCCTTTAAGGGATCTTCCCGTACCCCCACCTGAAGTAGGGAGCGGGTCACCCTAAACAGGGTGGCTGGGCGGTTCTCTGCAGATGCAATAAGAGCGGAGAAGTAGCTAGACTTCACCGCTCTTATCGCCACTAGGTAGGTCTTAATATAAGATCTCACCTGTGTTCAGTCAGATTCAGATCGGCTTGTCCTCCAATCACTCTCCAGGCGTCTTTTCCGACGCTTCATCTCTCTCAGCTCCTCGGAAAACCAAGGAGCTAGACGAGATCGGCATCGGGTCAGAGGCCGCTAAGGCACGACGCGGTCCAAGGCCCCAGTAGCCGCCCTGTCCCAGGCAACCACCAGGTCCTCAGTCGAGTCGTGAGCCAGAGTCTCAGGAAATGGCCCAAGCTCCATCAGGAACCTTTCGGGGTCCATCAGGCGCCTGGGACGGAACCATTTGGTTGGTTCCGTCTCCCTGCGGTGGGTGGAAGTGACTTGAAAGTCTATGTGAAGAAGAGAATGATCAGACCATGACAAGGGCTTGATGTCTATATCCCCTATTCTTAGATCATTCAGCCACTGATCAGAGACAAAAATCAAGTCCAGAGTGTGATTCCCCAAGTGGGTGGGGCCTTGAACTACCTGGGTCAGGCCCATGGCCGTCATGGAAGCCATGAACTCCCAAGCCGTCTCTGACATCTCACCAGCAGATGGCAGGTTAAAATCCCCCATAACAATAAGTCTGGGGGTTTCCACCGCCACCCCGGCTATAATGTCGAGCAGCTCAGGCAGGACCGCTGTTACGTGGCAGGGAGCCAGGTACGCAATCAGTAGGCCCATCTGAATCCCCTGACCCCACTTCACAAGGAGGGACTCACATCTGGCTATCTGAGGAACAGTGGCCTCCCTCGGGCAAAGACTTTCTCTAATGATTGCTGCCACTCCCCCACCCCTTCTCTGAGCCCTTGGCTGATGGAATGCACGGAAACCTGGCGGGCACATTTCCACAAGGGGAACTCCTCCCTCCTGGCCTAACCAGGTCTCCGTAATCCCTGCCAGGGGTTCGTAATTCCCTCCCTCTGAAATAAGATCATGAATGAGGGGGGCTTTATTTACCACTGACCTGGCATTACATAACATCAGCCGTAGACCCAGGGTCTGAGACTCTGAACAACCCGGGAAACGAGCAGTGCTTTGGGGGTCGGAGTAGGCAATCGCTCGTAAACATCGAGTGCGCACTCCCGAAACATAATATGGCCCCCTGCAGCCGTCATATCTGCCCCTCCCACTTACTATACTAATGCCCATCGCTTCATTCATTTTAAATCTCCTTTCCTATTATTTTGGTACATTGATGTGGCACTGATGGCGAATCATGTCAAAGGCATAGCTAGCATGCTACCCGAGATATGACTCATATGGCCAAAGTTTCTTTCATATGCTGCTCTTTTATCTCAGCTGCAGTACACTGACACAATTTTCAAAGTTGCTCAGAATCTATCCAGCTCTATATGCTATATAAGAGCAAGTTAATTATCGCAAATTAAGTATATCTCTTAAATTATGATATCACTATCACTAATCTGCAGAACTGAAACTTTCCCAATTTATTTACTGTCTGGAAATTATCAGGTTGTTGTACATGCTGAGAAGTCAAATGTGCAGTAAAAGATAACATACTGACTTTGAAGTGTTTTGACAAATTGCACTGTATTTGTATAATAAAGTCCACTGGCTTTAATTAAGAGACTTAAGAAACCTGTGAGGAAAATGCCAAAGAATTATTTTTAAAAGAAAAAAAGTGTCTTTGGACTTTTTTTAAAAAAAATGAGAAAATTTGTTGACTAGGAGTTTTTCAGAACTTGAAAAATTCTTCATAAAGAAAGATTGCTTTTGCTTATGTACATTATTTTCAAGTTTTACACTATGTCTGGAAAAAAAGATGATGCTTTCAACATCAACTCTTAAAAGTTTGTAAATTGGTAAGTCAATTTAAATTAGGAAAGTGATGAAATTTTATTGCTTTACAAGTAGAAATATTGCATTAACTTCTAATCCTGTAGAAATATTGCATTAACTTCTAATCCTGTAAATGATTTTTTAATGCAAAAAGGGTAATTATTACATAGCATGTTTCAATATCAAAGAGTAATTATCAAATATTTCCAATTTATATTGGAAATTATATTTGAGTTTATTGTAAATGTGTTCAGTTTTGCAATACAAAATGTCCCAAAGAGGATAATTATGAACTAGTGCTAAAAGGGGAATATTAATTTTTAACTAGCAATCTAGGAAGGAACGAAAAAAAGATATCTGTTGGCCATTGTGATTATTTTTCAGAAGTTTTTATGTAATAATATAAAACTATTACATGCCCTCAGTAGACCTCTACTCTGCTTTTTAACAATTAAAAGAGAAATCTGATTTATTAATTTTATATATTAGATACACGTTGGCAATCATTCTACCTTCCCAAAATCTTATAAGAATAAATTTTTTTTTATGAAAAACCATTTATAATAATGTAAAACTTAGCTCTATTTATGTATTTATGGTACAAATGTGAATACATATTAGTTACACATTTAAGGTGACCAGATTTTAACATTGGTAAAGAGGGACACCATTGTGGGCGTGGCTTATTTTGTGGGCATGGCTAGCTGATCATGTGACTGGGTGGGCGTGGCTAGCTGGTCATGTGACTGGGTGGCCATGGCTATGTGTATAGGGACTACTCAGAGGGCTGAAAAAAGTCATTTCTGGAAGATAGGGCAAGAAATTAAGGTAAAAAAATGGAGCAGATATTTTATTATGTATACAAATCATCTATGATTTATAATTTCTACTCCTAAAGAACAATTTTGGAAACTCAAAAACTTACATGTAAGTTTTGGATATTTTTCTTAGATAAATGTATTTCCCAAATGTGGATTTTGCATTTTTTACAAAGATATTCCTTTTTTTCTATAGCTCTTTAGCTTTTTAATTCAAAGTAAAAAGAATAGAAGCAAGTACATTGTGTTGGAAGAAATATCCATCCCGTTCAGTTCCAAGCGGGGAGAAAGACAGTAGAAACATGGAGGCTTGTTGGAAAGATGGTTTATTGATGAAGCAAAACCACATGTGATTCTGGGCAGCTGACAAACTGGAGTTGAGAGGGGGGGTTATACCTTCTTTGGGCTTTGTGTTAGAGCTTCCTGTTCCTGTTTAAGAACATGTATTCTATTGGCTATTGTAGGGGTCATAGTAGCCCTGAAGGTTGTCTCAGAAGTTTGGCTGAAGCCTGGAGGGTGATGCAATGTCCTTAGGAGATTTTACAATGCAGTGAGCTCTGCTGATAGATAATCCTATTATGTCCTGGAGGTCATGTCTTAATCCCATCACCCTGGAGCTGAAGGTCTTTTGTTTTGTAGATACGCTGGCCCAATCCTTCTCAATGGGCACCAAATATATGCTGGGGGCACAGAGCTGAAGCTCTGAGTTTCTGTCTTTAGAAACATGTTTCTCCTTTAGGGAAATATAATATTCTGCCTTTTAAAATATTTCTCAAGATATTTCGGCGGTGGCACTGCAGGCGCTAGCAGACGTTCCTTTCGGATCGTCAGCCCCGCGATCTCGTAAAAACCGCCAAGATAACGCAAATCAGCTGTCTAGCGGTTTGGAAACCTTCCCCTAGGGAGAAGAGGGGAAGGCGAGCAGCCGGACGAAGGTAGAGCTCCCCAAAAGCCCTAGGAATAATTCTGGGGCTTGAAGGGTGAGAGCTCCCTGGTAGCCTGACAGAGCTCCAGACCCGGGACTTTTCTGCTTCCAAGCAGAACAAGACGCCGCGACCACCTCTGCAATCAACATTCAGTTTTAAATTAATCCCAAAGCAGGCAGAACAGAAACAGGAGTCCTGGTAACTGCAAGTACTGAACTTTAACTCTGTATCCATATTTCTTCCTTCTAAGATCATTTTAAAAAAAGGAAAGGAAAAATGGTGCCTGAACTGTAACAGGGCATGGAAAAGTGAAAGTTATAGTGAAAGTGATTGTTAACATCGTTAGCGCTCTTAAGGCTGTTCAAGATTATTGGATTCTATATTAAAGAAAGAAAGATTTAAAGTGGAAAGATTACAGTATGGACTTTAAATAAATTACAATATTTACAAAATATTTAAAAACAATTGGACTTATTGATTTGGTTGCTGTAAGAAGTATAAATTGAAAGTTAAAAATGGCTTCTAAGCAAACAAAACCCAGCTCTTTTAAAAGTGCTGGAGGATCACCAGCACAACCATCTAAACTACAATTTTTGTCTACTCCAAATCCACAAATATTGACTTTGAAAGCTCTACAAGAGTCTTTACAGGAGGCCTTTAAACAGCAAACCTCTGTTGTAGAGGGAAAAATTAAGGGGGTGTCTGATGAGATGGCTGAAATTAAGGAGGTTATCCAAACTCGGACTAAGGAAATAAGAGAAGATATTGTAATGGCATTTCAGGGTCTGGCAAAACACATTGAATTGTTGGATGAAAGGGTAGAAGAAATTAATCAGTCTAATGTGAACTTGGAAAATAAAATGGATGAAGTTCAGATCAAGATGGATAGGGTAGACGATGAAGTGGTGATGTTACAATATAGAACAATGGAGTTTGCCCTGAGAGTAAGAGCTTTGAGAGAGCACAATTGAGAGAATTTGAGAGAGATCTTTGCAGAGGCTTTTGCAAAGATAACTGGAGAGCAACAAGCAGATCTTTCATTGCAAATTGACAAAATATATTGCGTTAATTCCTGGTTTGCCAGACAGAAACAATTGCCAAGAGATATTGTGATTTATTTTACAACGAGGAGGATCCGAAATGAAATTTTACAAGCCTTCTATAAAAATAAACTCCAACTGGCAGGACAAGAGGTTTTAGTACTGAAAGAAATCCCTTCAAAAATGTTGAGAAGCAGAAAAGAGTTTGCTTTTTTGGTGGATGAACTTAGAAATCGACAGATCCAGTTTAGATGGGATGTTCCAGCTAGACTAGTGGTGAATTACTTGGGAGAAAGGTATCGTCTTAATACAATTTGGAAGGCAAAAGATTTTTATACTAATGTATTAAAGGCTGGATGCCCATCATCTCCGGAAATGAGGAGAAGAAAAGAAGAGCTGGCTATACAGGGACAGAAGGAAGGTAAACAGACACAAGCTGAAGGAGAGATTTCGCTTATTGAAGAAGATTTATTGCAACTTTTTGGTACTGTTCAACCTTTGGAATTAGTAGAAAAAAGAGAAGAACCAAAAGATCAAAGACAGACCTGAGCTGCAGCCAAACGAAGAGAACAAGACCTAAAGATACAGCAAACCCAAATGAAAGTTCAAGAAACTACAAGAACAGAAGCAGTGGGAGGAGCAAGGCCGAAGAGAAAGGTGCAGGAGGATTTCCAGCTAGTGCTCCAGAAGCTTCAAGGTGCCAAGAATGGCAATTAAATTTTTGACCTGGAATGTTAATGGCTTAAATTCACTGCAAAAGAGGAAGAAAATATTTCACTATTTGAAACAGTTTAAAAATGATGTAATTTGTCTACAAGAAACACATATTAGAGTGACAGATCAAAAATATTTCATAAATTCAAGATTGGGAACACATTTTGTTGCATCTGCTCCAGAGAAGAAAAACGGTATAGTTATATACCTAAAGACAGATTTAACAACCAAACTAATTGAGGCAGATGTTCGAGGAAGATACATCGCAATTGAACTTTTAATAGAAGGGAAGAAAACACTCTTAATTGGAGTATATCAACAGCAAGAAAAATTTTATAAGCTTTTGCACACCAAAATAATACAATGGGATTACAAATCGTGTATATTAATGGGTGATTGGAATGGAGTATTGGATACTCAAAAAGACAAAAAAGGATTATTTCAAAATACCCAAAATCGTGCTAGATTGCCTAAATCTTTTTTTGATATGATGGATGATATGGAGCTGAGAGATATCTGGCGAGGACGAAATGTCGAAGAAAAGGACTTTACTTTTTTTTCTGATAGACATCAATCTTTTTCTAGGATTGATTTTATATTAATCACTAATGATTTTTTTTCTAGGGTGAATAAGACGAAGATATGTTCAAGAACTTTAACTGATCATAGCCTGGTGTGGATCGAATTGGAGCAGGAAAAGGAAGCTAGAAGGTCTTGGAGGATAAATGAAAATTTGTTTAGATATGAGGAAAATGTGGAAGAATGTAAAAAACAAATGAAAGAATTTTTTGTTATGAATATGCACAAGGGTACACCTATGGAAATGGTTTGGAATGCAAGTAAAGCATATATGAGAGGAATTTTAATACATTTGAATAATAAATATAGACGTAGACAAGAAAAGAAACGGAGGGATTTAGAAGAGGAAATAAAAAAGAAAGAGCAGGTACTTATATTGAATCCAACAGATAAGAAAATAAAGGAAACAATAAAATTTGTTGCGAGGGCAGTTTAATATGCTGATGGCAGAACAAGTAGCAACTAATTTACAATATGCTAAACATAATACTTTCTGTAATGCGAATAAACCAGGTAGATGGTTAGCTTATTTGTTAAGGAAAAAACAAAAGCTACGTACTATAGAAAAAATAGAATACAAAGGTAAAGGGGTATATCAACAAAATATGATTAAAAAAGCTTTTTTAGAATTTTATACGAAGTTATATGCTAGTGATACAATTCAAGGTAAAGACATTGATAGATATTTAGAGGAGGAGAATATTCCTGTAGTTACACCAGAGCAAAGGGAAGGATTGAACCAACCAATAACTTCGGAGGAAATTATTTTAGCAATTAAACAGTTAAAAGGGAGTAAAGCTCCAGGCACAGATGGACTGACAGCTGTTTATTATAAAAATTTGCAGTTAGAAATGGTGGAACCGCTTAAGGATTTAGCAAAATTCAAGCTGGAGGAGATGTACCCCCATCCTGGAGAACAGCTTTTATTTCATTGATCCCAAAGGAGGATCAAGATCATAGTCAACCCAAAAATTATAGGCCAATATCGCTTTTAAATATTGATTATAAGATTTTTGCTAAAACATTAGCAAATAGGCTAATGATAATTATGCAACAAATGATTCATAATGATCAATCTGGATTTATAAGTGGGAGACAAATGAAATGTAATGTAAGATAAATTGTAAACTTATTGGAATATTTGGAAAGAAACAACCAAGTCTCTGCAGCGCTTATTTTTTTGGATGCAGAGAAGGCATTTGAGCGATTGAATTGGCAATTTTTATTGAAAATAATAGAAAAGATGCAGTTTGGAGAGTATTTTACACAATCTATTAGGGCAATATACCAGAGACAAACAGCACAAATAATAATTAATGGTGGTTTAACAGAAACTTTTAAAATTGAAAAAGGAACAAGACAGGGATGTCCTTTGTCACCATTATTGTTTATTTTAATTCTGGAACTTTTATTAAATAAAATATGAGGGTCAAATAAAATAAAGGGAATTAAAATTAGACATCATAATTATAGACTAAGAGCATTCGCAGATGACTTGGTTGTTACTTTAACTCAACCAGTACAATCAGTTATAGGTTTAATGGACATAATTAGCCAATATGGATAAGTGTCTGGATTCAAAATAAACAAACAAAAAACAAAGATAATAACTAAAAATATGACAGTAAAGCAAAAAGAAGAACTAGAAAGGTTAACAGGTTTTGAAATAGTAAAAAAGATTAAATATTTAGGGGTATATATTACAGCTTCAAATGTGAAATTATATAAAAATAATTATGAATTGTTATGGCAAAAAATACAGAAAGAGATGGAGAATTGGGGAAAATTACAATTATCTTTGTTGGGAAGAATAGCAGCAATAAAAATGAATGTTTTACCCAGGTTTTTATTTTTGTTCCAAATGATACCAATACTCAAGAAAGATGTAAATTTGAGGGAATGGCAGAAGGGTATTAATAATTTTGTTTGCGCAGGGAGAAAATCGAGAATAAAGTTAAAAATAATGCAAGATATACGTGAAAGAGGAGGTTTTAAAATGCCTAATTTAAGATTATACTATGAAGCAGCTGTCCTATCAATAATCAGTGACTGGATTAATTCAACAGAAGAAAGAATATTGAATATTGAAGGATATGATTTGTTATATGGTTGGCATGCTTATTTATTATATGATAAGAAGGTGGATAAGACCTTTAAAAACCATATACTAAGGAATGCCATGTTACGAGCTTGGAAAAAATATCAATATAAGTTAAATTATAAGATACCTATATGGGCAATACCTAGACATGTGATAGAGAATATAAGTGTAGAACAAAAGCAAGAGGTGATTACTTATAAAGAGCTTCTTAAAATGGAAGGGGGTATATTGCAGTTAAAGTCCTTAAATGCATTAAAAGAAGAAAGGATAATTCAAACTTGGTTTCGATATGGTCAGCTGCAAGCTAGATGGAAAGAAGATCAGAGAATCGGTATCATGTGGAATGAGGAAAATTTGGTAAAACAAATTAGAGATCAAAGCCAAATGCATATAAAAAGATTATATAATATATTGATAGAAATAGATTTAGAAATGGAATTAGTTAAGGATTGTATGATAAAATGGGCACAAAATATCCAGGAACCAATAATGTTGGAAACTTGGGAAAAAATATGGGTTAGAAATGTGAAATTTACGCAAGTGCAAAATTTAAGAGAAAATTTTTATAAAATGTTTTACAGATGGCATTTAGACCCTAAAAATCTAGCCTGTATGTATCCGAATTTGCAATCTAAGTGTTGGAGATGTGATTGTGAGGATGCCACCTATTATCATATATGGTGGACTTGTAAAAAAGTTAAAGCATTTTGGATAAAAATATGGTGGATTATCCAAAATATTCTTAAAAAGAAGATAAGGTTTACTCCACAGTTGTTTTTGTTGGGTATAATTACAGATTGTATGGTTATAGAGACTAAATTGATTTTGAATTTAATAACTGCAGCTAGACTTTTGGTGGCGCAATATTGGAAGAAGGAAGATTTGCCTACTATTGAAGAATGGACATTAAAAGTAGCGAATTTAGCAGAAATGGCAAAAATTTCAGCATATTTGAAAGACTATTCACAAGAAAGATATATATCGGAATGGAGAAGATGGATTGATTATATTCAAAACAAATATCGGACTAAAAAGTATCAAATAGCTTATGAATGAATAGAAAAATTAAGAGTATTCATATTTAGTTACGTGAAAGGGGAGTTAAAGTGTGAAGGGGGGGATAGGAGTCCATAGATAGCTAGCTTAGCTTAGTATATGATTGTTAATTGTTATACCCTGTATTTTGTTCCGGGAAGTCCGGGTTGGGGGGGGAGGGTAAGAAAGGGAGGGGGGATGGAGAAATATTTATAAAAATTTTTGTAAATCTCTTTAATAAAAAAAAAGATATTTCGGCGGTGACGTCATCGTGCCAGGAACAAAGAGAACGGAGCTCTGTTCTCGAAGTTTCAGTATTTCTGATTAGGAAGCCGATCCAGGCACTATTGACCTCAGAGGGTCAATAGAAAAAAGAGGAAACCTCAAGGACCTCGGAGAGGACAGCAATCCCTCTGAAGGTTCAGGGGAAAACTCTTAATTCCAGTCGGGAAAAAACCAGCCATTTTGGCTGGCCTGAAACACTGACAACCGGTTAGTGGGAAGTGAAAATCTAATAAAAGAAGGCATCGGTAGGAGAATAGAAAGGAGAATGAGAAATAGAAAGTGGTACAGCTACAAAGTGCGAATAGAAATGGGTGAGAGTGAGACTCCAAGCAAGCGGCGAGATAGTAGCCTGACAAGCGGCGATGAAACAGTGAGTGGAGTGGAAAAGTCGATCTGACAGTGACAGCGAAGAAAGTGACAGGGAGAGACTCCAAAAGAAATATCGTTAAAGAGTTGTGGATTATAAAATAAATTGATTTCGCAGAGGGAAGTTTTCAGAACAAGAACTGTGAGTGTGGAGACGGAGAACAGTGAAGGTGAAGATTAGGAGAAACAGCGAGGGGCGAGAGTCAAACGGTGGACATAGGAACTTATAATATTTGCAAGTAGAAAGTGAGCTCGGAGGAAATTTAAACTTTAAATCAACAGCTTCGCAGAAAAGGATGATATTTAAAGGAGAGAGGACGAGGAGACTGACAGATTTTCTTATCAGTGGAGACTGTAATGAGGTGATTGATTTGCAATGGAAATCGGAAGTACAGAACTAACAACAGAGTGACATAGATCCTTTCCTTTTGGAGACTAACGGGTAGTGGAGCTAAATTAACTTTACCAAGGTGCTTTTTTCCTTTGGATACTTGGATTTGGATACTTTGATTGCTTAGATATTTGGACACTTAAACCAAAGGACATTAAAAATAACTGACAGAGAGTGAAGAAGTTGGAATGATGCAAGACTGAAAGAAGATACTAAAATAGAAGAAGAACAAACAATAACCAGCGAAGTACAATTTAGTTGCATAAGTTTGAGCATTAACCATTAAGTAAAAAGTGATTTATATATTGTTTAGATTGTTATATATATATTAATTGTAGCTTAATTTAGTATTTACTCAGTGATATACTTAAGTATCCAGCCTCTGCTTATCTCACGCGTCTAGATTTATATTCTAATTAATTTAGATTTATCACACATATTATATATATTGTATTAAATATATTGTGTATAGTAATTAATAGTATAGCAATTAATTATAGTAAGAACAAATTAATGAATTGTTGAAACTTTAAGTTTTTCCCTCATCTCCCCCCCCCCATTCTTCCTTTCCCTTATTTAAGAATATTGAAAAGTTGAAACCTAGTATTTAAAACTGTGAATAAGTAAACGGAAACCTATATAGAAATTTGACTGTGTGATAAAGAAACAGCAATATAGTAACAGTAATATTACCCTTATTGGTCACTACGCTAGGATCTTTAGATTTTATAAATCAAAATCTATTGTCTATTAACATAGACAGAGAAACATAAAGATTACAACAGTAAATCAATATATGAAATTTTGGGAAAAAATAATACAAAGAGTACAAATGGCAACCACAGGTTCATCAACGATCACTAAGACAAACAAGAAAATACTCTCAAACCAGATGACGCTCTCAGCATCTCCGGCGCAACAAAGGTTAGTTGACACTATGTTAGGGGTGGAAAA